GACTGAACAGCTCAAAAAAAAGAGAGAGAGAAAAAAAAAAGAAAATCCAAATGCACGATCAAAGGAACGTATGTACGTACGTACATGCGCGTTTCGAGTGAAATCCACGCTGTGCATACGGACAAGGTACTTACACGCACGGCGAGCACTCGTTTCGTCGGACAAACGACTGAAAGTTGGACCGGGAAAGTCGGCTGGGGAAATATTGCGGCCGAAAAGCTGGAACGCCGAACGATAGTTTATTTCCCTGCGCGTGTGCGTGTAAGCGAACGGCCGGGGGCCGAGTTTGTCGCGTCGAAACTGAGGATAATCCTCTTGCAACGACCTTGTGTGTGAAACGGCCCGGCAGCGGGGATCAAAGTGCACGCGTTAAATTACCAGCGCCACGAAAGACGAGAGAGAACGCTGGGCACTGGGCGAATTCCCTGCCAAACCGCGTCGAAACCCAGACACGCCGGCCCCGAACACGGCGATGCATTCGAACGCGTGAACGCAACATTCCAGAGACCGCTTCTCTAACAAGGACAGACAGACACTTCGGTCCATTGACGTCACGCTGCGTCTCTAATCGCTGCATCGTGGCCCGCGCGCGCACGCACAACACCAGACGAAATACCACGAAACAGGCTCGAAACGACAAGGCTCGACGCGTTTAAAGGACAGTTATTGAGAAGATCTGCCTGTAATCTCCGCGGCGCTGATTTTTCGAATTGGAGCGCGAGTGCCTCTTCAAGAGCACATGCTTTGCGATTTTCATTCTCGCCGCTTTCTATGGATACATTGCGAAAGATCGAATAACGCGTTTAACGGGCGTCGGCGATTTATGCGATTTTTCAGCACGCACGACGAATTTTGCAATTCGAGAACTCTGCGTGATGTTTCTTTATTTATGTACAGGGTGATCCATTCAAGTGAGGCTACTTGGAAATCTCGGAAGGATAGCATCTACTGTGACGACACCAGCTTAAGGAAAAAATAATAATAATAAATACTGCCTTAAACATTATACGATTAAGTCTTTTAATACGATCTTATCAAAGTCAGTGATCTCGATAGAGGTAAAATTATACGTGAAGCTCGTCATTTTAAGGTCATGTTCTTTATAAAAAAAAATATAGTTGTATAACTAACTTTATAAAAAAAAATAATGACCTTAAAAATGAATTTATTTGAAAAAATAAATTCTTACCTATAAAGTCTTTCGACACCATTAACGATAGGCGAAAAATATTTTTTGTCCATCGTCACAGTTCGAAAAGATAAATGGACCACTCTGTATATGTCGTAGTATGTAGGATCACATATAGAGACACAGTCGCAGAGATTTCATGGAAAATGGAACTGCCGATTATTTTATTTGCATTCCTAACGAACGGCATTAAAGGCACGCCCTTTCTTTACACTGAAACGGTGAAAACGAAACGCGGCTTTCTTTTTACCTCGCAGACACTCGTGCCACTTTTGCTACAGTTGCTGTTACGCGGTACAGACGTTTGTCGCGTTGAAAATTTTAATTGCGCTTCTCAAACACGATCTACATGTTCCAGCTGTCGAACAGGAGTAACTTGAAACACGTTCGGTGTTACCCTAGCGATTCTCCAGCGCTTGTTTGTTCCCATCGTAGATAGGATTAAACGTGAAAAAGAATTTTTTTCTCTCTTCCTTTCTCTCGCCCTTGTCGTGAAATATTCTCTTGAATTAAAAATTTACGCTCAGAGGCGATTTCCACGCTTTCAAGTCCCGATGAAACGTCTCTGAGACACGAAAACGTCTCTACAATTACTACTTGGTGCAGAGATAACATTTGAATTTAAAATTAGCAATTTTCCTTGTCGAATTCGATTACGAATCATTTTTTTAAACGGCCTCAAATGACTTGTAACTTTTTAGAGTAACTCGACAGACTTGCAACACGGCGTTCTTCACAGATTCGAATGATTTTTACAAAATATACGAATGAAAGTTCGTGTTCATTACCGTGTTGTAAAACCTTCCTCCTATTGCTCGTATTCTAATTTCTTTCACTCAATTTTTATACCTCAGCCTTCGGTAGTTCTAACGTTGAAAACTAGAAACTCGCGAGAAGAAAGAAGAAAATGCTTCAGTAAAGTTCCGCTGCTTGCAAGACACGTTGACTTTTTTTCAGCCTTCTTAATGATCATTAGAGCGAGACAAGTCTAGCGACAGACACTCGCGCGTTCGTTTATCATGCGAGAACCGTGTCACGTTCTTTTCCTTTCTCTGTTTCTTTCCTTTCTTGAAGTCTGTCTTAAATTCATTTCTCTCGCGAGGTGATTTTTATCACGTGACAAAGTACACGCACGTAAGTAGCGCGTAAAAGGAAAAAAATAAAAAAATAAAAAGAAGAAAGCCAATGGCGTTTCTTTCACGATTTATGTAATATCTCGTTCCATTTCGCAACAACGCGCCTGTTGAAATAAATTTCAATGATTTGCTTGGTGTTTTCATCGTCGAAAATAATTATCTTCGTACCAGTTCAAATGGAAGATACATTAGTCGGACGTCGTTAATCGTGTGAATTCATTGAAATTAACGCGCCAAAAGGTCGCAAACTCGCTTGCCAGTGTAGCAATTCCAACTTAACATTGCCAGATAAAAAAAGAACTCCTCATTTCAACTTTCGAGCTTCGTGTTTAATGATTTCGCGGTAATAGTGACGCACTTCCAGTCTCCATACGTTCGAATTTAAGTAATTTACCGATGTTAATAAAAATTCGCTTCGAAATGAAAAGAAAGAGAGAGAGAGAGAGAGACGCGAGAGGGCTCAAGGAGCAACTTTACTTTCTTCTTTTCTTCGAGGCCTTGCTGGTGGTCTGAGAGCGGATGTTCTTTACTTCCGGGAACGGCTCGTGAGATGGCTTTGCTTTGGGTCGTGGGAGACCTGGGCGGACAAACGGATCGTTACTAAAATTGGAAACTCGGCCTTTATACGCGGCTCGTGCCCAGCGATAACCGGACCAAGAATACCGATAAGGAAACGCAGGATAATCCGTCGCACGTCGTCGGTGATAAAAACCGATAATAAAATTCCTTTACGAGAGGCCAGACCGAGATTAACCTCGTTACACGGATTCACCGTAAACCCGCCCGCCGGGTTTATTATACACGTGCAACATTATACACATAATTAAAACCAACTTCCACAGACCGATCAGAGATTTAATAAGCCGCCGGCGTCCGCCGGTTTTCTTCACTTGTACATTCAATGGAAAATCATAAACTGGAATTTCTACGGTATAAACGGAGTGTCGTCTTTGGCTGGAGACTGTTCCATTTGAATTTTTTCGATTTTCGCGCGAACAGTGTCTGTCAGCGATGTGATTAAAACACCATCAACAAGGGGGAAGAAACAAGGAGCGTGCATTAGTCGTGGAATTAATTACCTATTTTCAGACGCGACGATGACAAAACCTATAGATCAGGTCATCAGTTCGATGCATTATTATCGGTACGTTGATTAATGAAAAATTGCACTCTGTGCAGAATATTTAATTATCCGTGATAACCCAGATTCTACTGTACAGATTTCAATTGTGAAAATATCGGGAAATACACGGCACGATTGTGCGAACTCGTTTGAACTGGTTCTGATGATTCAATGAGAAACAAAACAAACTGTTCCATGCAAGTACAGGATGATTTCAATTTTCACAAACATCGGCGATACGTACGAAACCTTGTGAGAATATTATTTCGGTAATAATACACGTTCCGTTCACAGAAACGTGTGAATCGTCTCTTTAATCAACGCCACTGAAGCCTGGCGCAAGAAACGCACGCCAATCTCAAAGGACAGTGGAACAAAGACGGGACAATTCCCTCAACGGGACGTGAAGGAGAGTGAAGCTCGAAACAATCTAGATCCCGTGCTCGAAGCAACAAGAATTCTTCGACGCGGCGTTTCGCCGGCTAAAATGCTGAACGAAAGGCAAACAATTAACTTGTCACCGAGTTCTGGTTCGGAGCGTGACGATGTCGCAATTTAATTTTAATTGGCGAATTAGCCTTAGGTGCAAGTAAACGTAATTAAATGCCTCGGTCCGCGAGGTCTAACTTGCAGGTGGTCATTGAGCCGACGTTCTCTTTGTCCTTCGTTCATTTCGTTCCATTTTCTCTTTCAACGTCGGAGCTGGCACTGTGGCGAGAACGACCAATTCGTAATTTTTTACGAAACTCTGATAAATTAACGACGATGCATTTTTCGTGAAACGAACGACTGAAAGCTGATGTCTTCTTTCTTTTCTATCCTGTACCATTTTTATTATTCTTTCTTCTCATCTTTCCCTCTTTTCTTTCAATTTTTTTTCTTTTTTGTGCTTTCGCTTCTCTTCCCGTGATGGATGAATTATTTTGGCACGCGAACGCGCTCGTAGAATGCATTAACCGGTAATTGCAGCGGCCAGAAAAATGATACTCGATGTATGTAAGATAAAGTAATACCCACTTCTGGCTGATCGTGGAATCTCAATACGTGTGCCGCAGTTGTTATACGATGCGTGTCGTGAGTGGATGTTGCTAAATAATGGCAGTTACTTTTACAGTTCTCTCGAGTTGGCTAATCAAATTGGAAAACTTTCACCCGAAACATGCGGCCCGATCGCGGGGCAATGAATTCATTCGCCGAGCTTCGTTATCCGCGCGAAAATCTGACGGAAGTATAAATAAACGATCGGAAACGTGCTGTTGTCGGAAACGAGAATTCAATAATAACGGAGCAACTTCCCTATCTCTCCAATTTCTAAAGAAACATAAATTTACAATCTCTTCGCTACGAGAGAATCTTCCTCCTTTCATTTCTATTTCTTCCTGTCGAAAGTACGAGTACAGAAGACGGAATAAATTTTTCACATTTCGACCAAATTAATCTGCTGCGATCTCCGTGAAACGTTGAACGTTTCTTCTCCGAAGGAGAGGAAGTTTGATCAGACTGACCGGTCTGGAAATCGCGCGAGTAATTGTATTATCCTTCAAGAACTCACCCTTGATCAAGATCTTCATTTGTCTGTCCGTGTCTTTCAATTCGCGCCCGTACAACGGAGGTGTTCCCACGAATAAATAACGAAAAGCCGCGGCGGGATCATCGTCGCACTCTCTTAAAACGGACAGAGCGCACTAAAATTCAATTTCGACTCGATTATTCTTTCACGAGCAGCGTTCCTGCTACCTCTGTTTCGCGATTTTCTGATCGAAAGAGCCACGAAAAACTCTCCAGTTTGTGTATACCTGCAGTATCTCAACGTCAGTCAGCGAGCATGACAGCGAAACCTCGGTGAATTCGGATTTAAACTCAACGTCGTTGCTGGCTTTGCTAATTCCATTGAAATCGTTGCTTTTTCCAGGGAAATCTCTATCGGTCGATGAACCGCGAAGAAGTGGTTCGTCCACGACCACGTAGATTCTACAAAAGGATACTTCGCATTAATCAAACGATCAAACCATCGACTCGTTTCGCTCGACGAGGAGTTCGTAGCGTTTTCAACGGCGGGATAAAAATTTATTATGCCAGCTTCTCTCGAAAATAACGAGAACCGAATCGTAAAAAGTCGAAACAATCTTTCGTTTGTGCAACAAGAATCTACCGAGCCGTTTAAAAGTAATTTTGATGAACAAATTTTGTTGAGATTATTACTGTCGATTATTAAATTCGATATCTGTTTTAATATCTTCGACGTTTCAATATTTTGAAGATTATAAAGGCCGTGGAAACGTTTAGCTTGGATAAACAAAAAACGGAGGGAAATATTTTCACAACAACCGAGAGTGGCTGATGATCAACTAGAGAATGAAAAATATTCCAAAGGACTTGTGAAATTATCCAACCGAAAGAGACCGTGCACATATTTATTCGATAAAATTTCCTCGACGATGGAAGTTTTCTGTTGAATTTCTCTACGAACTTCGCCCACGAGTGCGCCTTCCGCGTAGCACGGGAAACGTTTCCGCGATTTTTCGCGAAATAAGGACGCTCGAATCCAACAAGTTGATTACAGCCGCGACGCACGATATTTACTCTGGATTGCATATCAGCTCGAGGCCTCCTTTAAAGCTGATAAAGTTGAAAACCGGCACGTAGCGTCGCTCGGAGATCCGGCAATAAATCCTGAACGGTTGCTCGTCGCAGATTGTCCCGACCTGTTCGAATATACAATCGCGTCGCCCGACGAGTGACAATTTATTAACGTTTATCTGAACGTTTGTGTTTCGCGCCGGCGCGAATCATTGCAACGAGTTATAGAGGAAAGCTGTCGCGTATCTTCTGTAGAAGAAAATCGTTCCACGATTGATCCAATTCCATTAATAATCGAAGGATGGATACATACATAGTGATTCACAAAATATTCGAAAATTGAAACCTTTTTTAAAATTTTTACCAAGCGATAAAAAGAACTGTGAAGAACAAATGTGAAGATGATTTTAACTAAATTTAATATAATAATAATTTGACGTACTGAACGATTGAATGAACGATTGTTCAGATGCTACGTTAATTTTTGGAAAATGCCTGCTAATCTATGTAACCCCATGTCTCATTGCAGCGTAAATCAAATTACGGAACAGAAACATAATTGTGCCGAGACGAAGCGGCAACTACAACGTTTGTAAAATCAAGTACAAGTGTAATAAGTCGATCATCGCGCAAAGAGATAAGTGAGAAGTATCTTTTTCACGGTCGAGAGAGTTTTATGTTGCGTCGACAACGACGTTCCCTCGTATTTTAATATTTTTACGCGTGCATTCAGGCGTGTCGCGGAGATAAATCGGGCGCGGATCCTCGCCGTGGATGCGGAATTTTCCATTTATGAAACGGTTAGAAGGTTTGATGAAAACGACGCGAGATTTCTGTCGCGATTAATATTAAGCGGATTAAACATTGAATGCGCATTAAATTAAATTGCCTTCGATCAATCGTGGATTCGTAACAACCAATGCCGCCGGAATACCTCCGAAAAACGTCCGCCACGCGATATCGCTCGCCATCATTTTAAACAATTCAAACACCAAAAATACAGATACAGCCTCTGTTCTTCAAATTTCGGCTCGCGATATTTCGTTTGCCATTTTGCCGAACAAGAGTGACACTGGTTCGTGAAACGATCCGGAAACTTGTATTAAAACATGTATTAAGTGTATTGTATGAAACATTTGAAAATTTCACTGACACTACTAACCGACCAAAATTTCATTTTCTCACGAAGGAAGAATATTAGAAACCATTACGAACAATTTTTTTCTTTTTTCAATCTGAAATCGAATAAGTTCTCTATATGTTTTGTATATGTATATACTGTACTTTCAGAATAATTCCAAATTTTACAAATACAATTGTTACAGTGTCAATGAAATATCAAAATATTTTACACAACACGCCAGATCCCTGCGATAAAAATTTAAGTACTTTCCCGAACCAGTACGTAATTTCAATAGCGAATATTTTATTATTCCGTATCGACCAGAAAAATGAAAAGGAAAAACCGATTCTCTCAAAAAACGATACTTGGAATAAAGTATAAAGTATATATGCGAATGATACCAAGTCGCAAAACGTAGTCGAAGTTATTCCGGCGTTCTTCCGGGAATTAGAAGATAGGAAACAGTGCGATACATCGACGAAGAGATCGCTAATGTCTGGGAAACGTTCGTTCTTCAAGGTTATTGTCGCTCTATCTACGGCCATGCTGGGATTTCGCACGATGGTCACGTTAACTTCCAGCAAACGGCTTCCTAGCAACATGATTTCGGAGAACTTCCACCTTCGTTGAGGATATCGAATTTCCTTTCCATTCTGTCTTCCTTCTCAAAATTTCTTCGTTCTCGAACCTATCGAGAGAATCTCGCGTAGATACCGTCCAAACGAAGTGAAACTGCCTCTGAAGTTCTCACGAGATATATATATATGTATGTACATACGTGCGTATATGTATCATTGCTAGCGACGTTCGTTGATATATATATATATATATATATATATATATATATATATATATATATATATATATATATATATATATATATATATATATATATACTTGATTTTATCAAGAGGAACATTTCCACTTTTCTTGATTTTTTCCGTTCCGAAGATTTTCGCTGTTACACACCGGTGTTATACGACGCTGGCCTAATTTATTCGAGGTACAACGAAAATCCCAACGCTGGCTGACCAAACGAAGGACCATTGATCCTGCGTTACGATTTCAAGAGGGTTGCGACATAACTCATGCCTCTTTCCCCTTCAACGACCACCGGTGTTCCGTCGTTGATGACTGTACGGAAACGTTCCCAACGAAAGTCGAACATTTCGTAGCACGGGTAACACCTCCCCCTGGGGTAATCCGATCTTTTGATAAATCTTCCTTGGTTTCCTTCGTTCGACGAATCTTCCTTTTTCTTTTTTCTTTTTTTTTTTTTTTCCGAAAAGGAGAGTTCACCTCTGTCTGCCGCCACGTTCTTCCAATACCGAAACTTTTTCACGACTTTTTCAGAAGGAGAGAGATCACACTGGCGTAAAATTACGTTACGGCTGTGAAATTTGTTGGATAATTCGAAATAATCCGCCTGGGTCTCGATCGGAATTTAGGAAGGAATTAGAGTGCACCGCGCTGGAAAATCCCTTAACTACGTCTGTACATTTTCGTGGGCGTTGTTTCGCGAGCGTTCGAAACGCGTTTTCGTATTTAACTGGCTGGAAAACGCTGACTAACGGGAACAGATATCCCGCTCGATATCCCGCTGCCGCGGGAACTTACAATCGCGTAAGCGTTTACGCCGAAGCGGCACACGGAAGAAATTCAATTTAAAAAAATTCCCAGGCTATGTGTCGCGGGAAACGCGCCGGTTCATTTCGATGTCATCCAGCTGCCCTACTTATCGAATCGAGCGCAACTGAGACTGGAGAAACAATTCGATAGCTAGATGGGAGTTTCCTTTACTCTTTAAACTTTGTCTCATTAGGCGAAACCGCGGAGAACGCTGGAATTCTTATCTCAGTCGTAGAACTGTTTACGAGAGTCCCGAGTGGGACGTTGTGGAAAAGGGAATTGTCGCGAATGTTACCAAAATGGTCAAATTTAATAATTTTAGTTAGAAATTTTCTAGATGCGAAACAGTGTATTTTTAGAGATTTAAATGATCCTTCGTAAAATGTTCGTGCAATTCAGATGTGTCCAATTATTTGAATGATTTTAACCGTGAATGTTCATGGACCACTTTCTCTTTTGGAAAATATTTATAATTGCAAACAGATTTTTTTCCTGTATGAAGCAGACAGAAAATAAAATAGAGCAAAAATTTTAGACGGGCATCTAGAAAATACTCTTCGTGCTGCCATTATCTGTGTCAAACCGTATATTAATAAACTGGCATCGAAAAAAAAAAGCATTCTCAGTGTTTTCATGAAAAATTTTTATATTCTTTTCATTGATATAAATATATTTTTCTGGTCAATGTATTGTCTCACTATATAGAAGCTGTTTTAATATCCTCGTAAATAACATAGGTTACATTGAACTGATAGAAAAAGTATGTAAACTATGCGCGGCGACCTCAACAAAGTTTTTTTGGCCAATGAGGCCCAGAAGATCTAAAAGTTTGGACACCCACGACGTAATTACAAAGATTTTCCAATTTTTTACTTTAATTTCGACGGAAATTTCGTGCTTTAAATTATCGAGGATTCGTTTCAGATTCGACGCAGCGTAATCTCAATGATTATCGTACGTCGCTCAAACGTTTGGCGTGGATCTCGACGTCACCGAACTCTGATAGTATCAGTTCGAGGAATTCCGAAAATCCACTTCGTTCGGAGAAATCGAACAGCCAACGTCGCACTTCGCCTCTCGACCCGGACTAGTTCAACAGTTCGAACGACTGATTGATACCTCTTCCACCCATTAGAATTTTCTACGACGTCGGACGTCGCGAAGATCATCCGCCGAGGGAAATTGGAGATCCACTCGATCCGCGAAAATCCCAGCGAGTAATCATCTTAATTTCAAGCCCCTTCATCTCCATAAACCCTTGGTGCCCACTCGATGAATCGATCCACCAGCAGCCCAACTCCCGAGGAAACGGAAGTTCCGGACTGCCGATGAATATCCCGTTGAACGAGGACCGTCGAGTACCGATGGCCCCTTTCGGGGCCCATACATATTCGAGTGGCGTGCTCGCGGCTTCGTCCACCGAGAGCCGCCCCGTGTTTTTGTGATGGAAATGTCTCTCCGATGTCGTGTCGCTTTCTCTCTTTCTTTCTCTTTCTCCTCTCGCCCCGTTGCGAGTTTTCCACCTAAACACCGGGGTGGCGTCCAGCCGGAAGCTGAAAAGAAAATCAACGCCAGTTTTTTTCTCTCTGCTGTGAGAGAGTTCTCGCCGACCGTGAGTTTCCTCTCGGCGACCGATGTT